CACACACACACACATATATATGTATACATGTATGTATGTATGTATGTATGTGTGTGTGTGTGTGTGTATATATATATATATAGACAGATATTTATATATGTATGTGTGTGTATGTGTGTATGTGTGTGTGTGTGTGTGTGTGTGTGTGTGTGTGTGTGTGTGTGTGTGTGTGTGTGTGTGTGTGTGTGTGTGTGTGTGTGTGTGTGTATGTGTGTGTATGTGTGTGTATGTGTGTGTGTGTGTGTGTGTGTGTGTGTGTGTGTGTGTGTGTGTGTGTGTGTGTGTGTGTGTGTGTGTGTGTGTGTGTGTGTATGCACGTACGTTATATTATATAATTATATACCAGTATATATATATAAATATATATAAACATACACATACATGCATATGCATATGCACATGCACACATGCACACACACGCACACTCACACACACACACGTATATATGTGTATGTATACATGTATGTATGTATGTATGTGTGTGTGTGTGTATATATATATATATATATATATATATATATATATATATATATATATATATATATATTTAGACAGATATTTATATATGTATGTGTGTGTATGTGTGTGTGTGTGTGTGTGTGTGTGTGTGTGTGTGTGTGTGTGTGTGTGTGTGTGTGTGTGTGTGTGTGTGTGTGTGTGTGTGTGTGTATGTATGTGTGTATGTATGTGTGTGTGCATGTGTGTGTGTATGTGTGTGTGTATGTGTGTGTGTATGTGTGTGTGTATGAGTGTGTGTATATGTGTGTGTATATGTGTGGATATGTATATACATGTATATATAAATATATGTAGACATATATGTATAAATATGTATGTATATATATAATGCATTATATATGCAGGCCATGGAAATGCTATTCTGGATAATTACCAAAAGACCAGTATAAAGAAAAATTCACTCAGGATAATTATTCAAAATGAGAGCATAAAGAAAAATTGAAAATGGCCTTGAATATTCCTTCAATGAAATTTAGTAAATTATTAACCTATAAGAATGAATTGTCCCTTTATGTTGTTTATGAATGAAGATATCTTAAAAATATATAAATCTATTTATGTAATAATGTAAGTGCTATGCAGATGTGAAATTATTCATAATATAAGGATTCAACATGAATAGTTACAATAAATGCTTACAAGGTACTTACACTTATCATAAATAATACTCCTTTTTAACAACCCTAAAATTTCAGGTTTTGTATATTTGTCATTTCTCTTTCCATCTACTAAACTCAAGACTTTCTTGTAATTCTTCTTTGTACCCTCTTCCCCAATCTCAAATGCTCTCTCTCTCTCCTCCTTCCTCAACTTTACAACAAAATCATAAGCACTCTTAGGAAAAGTACTGTCTCTGTCTTGGGTTTGCGAGTTCTTGGTAACCTGTTTGATGCGTTCTTTATTGGACCCCACTGGTGCATTTTCCATTATCTGCTTCTGGATTAATGATGTATCTTCAGTATTATCATCCTTAATTTTTAAAGTTTCAACATCTGTTGCTGCCTTGGAATTTATTGATTTCAGAACATCTCTCTCAATGATTGAATATCTATTGTCTGTATTGTTTTTCTCAGCTAATGTTATACTGTCTAAAGAATCCTTAAAGTATATATCATCAATGAAGTGCAATTCACTTGAAGTTTTCTCAACAGACTTTGATTCTCCTGCCGTCTCTACATCATTTTGTATCTTAGATTTTGAAAATGTTTGGGCCTGTGGGATGCTGTCATAGTTTTCCACTGCATCCTTAAAGTAAATATTATCAACGAAGTTAAGATCATCCCCTCTGACTTGTGGTTTCTTGGAAGCAGAAGGATCTCTCTCCTTCACATTCAACTTTTGAAAATCTTCCTCTGCTTTACTAAAAACTAGTTCATCGATATAATTGTATTGACTTTCACTCCTCTGTCTTTCTAAGTCATTTACTTGCAATGACCTATCGACTGACTTAGCATAGTTATTTGAATTTCCGAGAGCAACTTGCTCACTCAAAGAACTTGCATTCTGAAAGTCCAGAGTACTTTTGGGATATTCTCTTCCACTGTCATCAACTGACTGAGTTATTACAATGTCTTCAATACCATGCTTTTTCTTGAGGATCCCTCTGTCAAGTTCCTCTGTCATGTCGTACTGTCCATGAACCTTTGGAATATTTTCATCGTCAAACCTTATACTTCCAAAATTGGTCTCGTGCACTTTCTCTGGCACGTTTTTAGCAGCCCGAAGATCAGAGAGCACATTGGTGTACTTCAAAACAACGGGATCTACTTGATCGATTGACCTCATGTCCCTGTGCGCTTTCAAACTGGTATTTCCTGCATCCTCATGATAAAGAGAATTTGCTTTCTCCTCCATGGCCAAGTTGGACTCCTGGAAGTGATCGGCGTTATCCCTCTCATGTCGCTCGGGTTTCCTTTCATTTCTCGTGGACCCTCGAGGCAACAAACCCACACCACTCGTAGATATAAATCTGTCGACCTTA